AAATTCTCTCACCATCATTCCCCGTCTTGCCTTGCCGCTGGATCTCTCTACGTTGGAGACTGGTGTAGAGGAGCTTTGATTGAATTTGAAATTTAGAGAAAATTTGGAAGAGAGAATGCGTAGGGGGAGAAGAGAGAAAGACGGAACAGCGAGGAGAGAAGTCGGCCGATTACTTTTACCGTACAGGAGAAAGAATGGTAATTATAACAGGGGTATTAAAGGTACAAAATAAATGTTTAGTCTTAAATAAGATTCAACTTGAACTCCTATTTAGAAAAAAGATGTATGTTTTACTCCTATTAAGGACAATATCTGTATAAGTTCATAGTCTATGCGCTCTATTGGCTAATAAAATACGATAGTACGTGCGTAGAATATAGACAATTTGAAAACCCAATCTTTAAGCCTTGATGTCAAACTAATTAAGGTTCCAATTTCCAAAAAATACTTCGTATCTTCTTTATAGAAAAGATGGTTTTTTTGTTGTTCTTTCCAACCTATTTGAGTATTAATTTATCTTTTTACTGAATATTTGGTCATATCCAATCCATATCTAGATTTCATCTACTCAACTATGAAATTGGATGATAAAAAAAACTATGAAATTGGAAAATCCAATTGGAAAGTCTCTAATATAAGCTATATTGTAGATTTCATCTACTCAACTATGAAAATGGAAAATCCAATTGGAATTTCCCCTCTCTCGAACTTCGTTTTGAATTCCAGAGACTCTGAATCGGCTTGTAATATGAGAAGCTCTACTCGGATTTCACATTTTTACGAGATGTTCTCCATTGTTTGCTTGCTTTCATTCCTTTCCTTGGGGGCTTAATGGCTTGGGGCTGGAGTTGGAGCGTACAAGCACTGGCGGAGCCACACTATGAGTTGTGGTGTCAATTGACACCACTCAACTTTTTTTCTTTATATATAATTTTTCAAAAAATTAAAATTGACACCACTAAAAAAGTAGAAATCGTTTAATATAAGAATAAAACATACACAAAATAAAACAAATAGGAATTTTTGTGTTTCATTCTCCAAATAGGGCCTATTTAGTTCTATCAAAAGAATAACAAGATCAAAACTTCCAACATAGGAGCGAATGAGTACTATTTTGGGAATAAAACATTGATATTCCTATGAAAATATTACCCGAAATAGGACTAAAAAGGTTTGGAAATTCCAAAATAGGACTGTCATGTTTTTATTCCCATAATAGGACTAATTACTGCCATATTTTGGCAGTACCAGACTTCAAACATGACAGTATTTTTCAAACTTGACAGTAATTACTCCTATTTTGGGAATAAAAAATATGGCAGTCCTATTTTGGAATTTTCAAACTGTTTTAGTCCTATTTCGGGAACTTTCTCCATTCCTATTTGACGGGCACTTTGTCTCGTTGCGTCAAAATAAATTCAATACTACCACTTATACGTAGTATAGTGAAGTAGAGTTCGTATCCACAGGGAAAGGAATAATTATTTTTTTAAACGAAACCAGTAAATAAAGGGGGGGATTTTGATTGAGTGATTTAATTAAATTAAACACGAAGATGAACAACTTATATGAGATTAAATTCAAGAATAAAAGGGACTTGGCCTTGCTACTTTCCACTTATTGATATATTCTAATCGATTATTGTTATATCTATAACTTATCCCCTCTCGAATACACAATCGAGGAGTATCTCCAATTCATCGAGGGTAGTTATTCACAACGACCGTTCATTAATAACCCTTACTATTAATCAAATATAGAACAACGCCGTATACCGATATAATAATAGCATTTAATCGCTTTAACTCTTTGATGAAATCAATTGAGATTGATAACCTCAACACAACGGTTTCGGTTTAACCAACAAAATTAATCCATCTTAAGTTTATTAACCACGACCGTGCATTAATAAATCGAAGTTACTTACTTGTGAAACCATCAACGATTAACCATCGGTTCGTTGATCGTTTCTAGTATGGGTAACGATGATTATGAGATGGGCTCTAGACCGTAGTAGATAAGATAACGGTCTAGAGCCCAGCTCATAATCACCGTTATCTACTATGGTCTAGAGCCCAGCTCATAATCACCGTTATCTACTACGGTCTAGAGCCCAGCTCATAATCACCGTTATCTACTACGGTCTAGAGCCCAGCTCATAATCACCGTTAACTACATCGGTCTAGAGCCCAACTCATAATCACCGATTTCCTACATCGGTCTAGAGCCCAGCTCATAATCACCGATTCTTTACAATTCAATTTCTTAGGATCTAATTCATCCATTATTCGACTAACATTTCCAACTAATATTTCAATACTAGTTATTTACTCATTTCAATATAATTCTTCATTCATGTGTAATTTGGCCTTAATATCAAAATATCACTTTTAAATATACTTTCACGGCTTCTTCTCATGAAATAAAATTATATTTATCACAAATGAATTTTATGGTTAATACAACCATCATACCATCATATTCATAACATATACACATACACAATTTATTCATAAATTTGTATATTATGCATACTATACTTATAATCAATACTCCCTCCGTCCCCCTAAGTTTGGGACGGAGGGGTGTGGTGTGGTTTTTAAGAAAAAGTGGAATTGTGTGGTTGGTATTGAATTGATAAAGTGTAAATAAAGTAAGAATGAATTCTAACCACTCAAATGTTACCAAATATGGTATGGGACAAACTTAGTGGGACGGACGAAAAAGGTAAAACGGGACAAACTTAAGGGGACGGAGGGAGTAGTAATTTCATTTAGGCATTATTAACCATTAATAATCCATGAAAATCACATTTTGTATTGATTTAGGAAATCTCATGAAATTAACCCAATGATTATAAGCAATATAGCTAGTCGGTCATCCTCACCTCAATGAGCTTTAAACCTTCCCGTCTTGATCCAATGGTCAAAGCTTCGTTCAAGGTGGATTAAGAACTGATTTCTTGTTATAAATGAGTGTTAAACAGCCTCCCCAAAGTGCTAGCTCAATCTCTTATCGTCGATACGAAAACAGCCCCTAGAATGGGTGTTTTCCGGTGACTCGTTTCTTACTTTTTTTTCCAAAGTTTGTTCTAGGTTAATATCTAACCTTTACGTCAATAAAACAACTTCATAAGGACATATTATACACTTGAAATAGTGTAAAATAGTTCCACCAATCATTCATATCACTTGGAAAACGAAAGAAAGAGTTTGGGATCAAAACTCACTTTAGAGGAGCAAATCCGTTTTCTGCGAGGTTGTGTTTTCTTCCAATGATTTGAAAGCCTTACACTACTCCTATTGATGCAAACCAGACTTTGACGGATTCCTATTCTTGAGAGCTTTCTCTGGGCACCTCACACGCTTTATTTGGTTGAGTATTGCACAAGATAGGAAGCAAACAAGTAACCTCACGCATTGGGGTTTCACCCTGCGGACAGCTTGCTCTTTCCTTTGTTTTCTTGGTTGTGTGGTTCTCTTCTTCTCTCTTATCTCTGGGAGTTTGAATGGGGGGTTGTGGGAGTGCTATCTTGTTCCTCACTTAGCCTCCAAAGTAAATGGGTAAGGGTGAGTTGGCATGTGGGATGATGGAGCAAGATATCTTCCAATCAAAATGGGGAGAGGGTCCATTCTTTGTACTTAGATGCCAAAAGCATCTCTTCCACCCTCTTTCCTTTGTCAAACCAGCCCTTCCCTTGTCTAATTCAACACACGAAAACGTGGGGTGGCCCCCACTCATGTGGGAGGTCATCCCTTTGTGTCTCAAAGTGTACATTCGGTCCCGAAAGTCGTATTTTTCGGACTGTTTTAAATATATTTTATTCTATTGGGTCAAATAAAATATATTACGCGTTATCAATCAATATGGCCCTTATAATGAATATATATTCCCCAATTTTAATTTATAAGCCCCCGAAATTCATTTCAGGCTGTTATCTGTGAAATTACCAAAACCGGTAATTGAGCCACTTTTGACCAATCGGTCCACATTATGTCTTTTCTTTGGCCCAAATAAATTATTCACCACTACATAAACATTATCTCGACCAAGACGAATAAAATGTATGGTCTCGGGAATATCAGGCGGTCCCTGCTCCTGGTGTGGGCCCCACGTGCAAATTTACTATTCACGCAAAAGCATTAATAAAAATTCACATCTTCTTAACTTCATTAACCATTCCATAAGGTTCAATACTTTATTCACTTAAAAGTAAATAAATTTGGGGATGGTGTTACAAATATAGAATGAGATTAAGGGAAGAATTAATAATCAAGAGAAGAAGTTGAGAAAATAGCTCTCAACTTTAATAATCAACAAGCTTCAAGAGCAAAACCAAGAAATATAATGAGAGTTTAGCTCCTCATTTGGAGACTAAACATGCTAGAAAAATATAAAGAAATGTTATTCTAAACTGAGCTTAAGAGTATGGAAGAAGGGATGAAAAATAGTAGGCCTGGGACCGGTTCGGTTCTTGTTAAAATTCGATGGAACCGTATAAAAATTGTAGGCTTTAAATTCGGTCCGGTTCTAGTTAAAAAAGTAGTTGTTAAATTCGGTTCGGTTCTAGTTAAATTCGGTTCGGTTCTTACATTTTTCGGTTCCTTATAAAATTTTATTATTCTCCTAAAATGAACACATTTTACCTTCAGTTAAATTAAAAAAATTCAAATTTCAAATCATGAAATTATGACTATTACATTATACATGCATGATATCTCAATGTTCAAATATCAATATATATATATATATATATATATATAGGGATTAGTTCCTGTGAGAACACCCTCTTAGGAGAGTAAAAAAGAACCCCATCCGACCATCCAATTTGACAATCGAGCGGCTGGGATTATGAATTATATCAATTAAAAACGCACATGATTCGTCCGTGGAAGATGAAAAAAGAAGAAACGTGCATTAAGAAGCCCATAAAAGGGTAAATGGGTAAAAGACTAAGATGCTTAATTATGGCAGTTCGGCCACACGAGTTCCCATATGGAAAGAAATCCCGTTTAATGTGCCTGGATATTCGAAAAAGGAGAAACTTGCTTCATTGCGCAGACTTCTACTCTGAAACTACCAGAGCTCGACGAACTCAACCGGGAAGGCCTGCACTAGCATCGAAACCCTAGGAAGCCGTCGAAGAAGAAGGATGACAACGACGAACGAAAACGACGATGCATCAGGGAGTGGAAAAAGTGCTTCAGGTAAGGCAATAGCCTGCGAATATTATGTGAATAACTATGTTGGTTTAAGAAGTTGATGTTTTGGATTGAATGCATGGCTAAACAAAACGATTTTGATGAAGTTTGTGAATAACTATGAATGATGAGTTTTGCTATGGATGCGTTTTATTGGAATTTGCACAAACAGTACTTAATAGGTTCATACATATAATGATATAGTGCATGAGCTGGTTGTATATGTGACGAACACAATTTGCTATGTCCTAGATCTAAATATTGATTATAGTGCATCAAGTTTTTATTTGAGTGCATAAATTGGGTGCTTAAAAGGCTTGTTTGGGTGACAGAAAAGGCGTACAGTGCACAAGTTACGTGTGTTTTGATATATTGCTGTATATTCATATTATTGTTATGTGAATGTGATTGTGAATGTAATTTAATTAATAAGTGCAACAAATCTATAATCTTTGGAAATCTAGTAAACAGACAGTATACTGCTTACATCCGTATTGAAGGTTTGAATTGTAATGTGTTGTTTCGAATGTGCATGAAGTGAAATTATTATGTTCATAAATGCAATGACATAGTGCATGAGGTATTTACTTATTTGATTAAAATAATATGTAGTACAACACGAGTTGTGTCTAAGTTAGGGGAAGAGAGCATTCTTTGTGTTGAATAGTGCATGATTTTCCATATTACAGGGAGTACAGACAAAACCTTACAGGTGGTGAAGAACAATAAAGGTAAGCGACCAGCTATCAAAGATGCAACTCAGAACCAAGCCTGCAGGGTGAAGAGGCAGAGGAAAGTAGTTGATGATAATGAAAGCAATGATGACTTTGAAGTGCAACCTGGGCAAGGTGGAGCTGAAACTGACTTAGTGGAAAATGAGAGCAAGAAAATAAAGAAAGAGAGCATTAAAGATATCAAGGCCAGGTTTAGGACAATAAGAACAAGATCATCACCCAACATGGTTGTGAAAGCTCTCTCTGTGATGACTGCTGCACAAAAGCAGGAGATACACAAGATGGGTTTTGGTGCGCTGTTTAATCTTCAAGTATGTGAAATACCAGGAAGGTTGGGGTTTTGGGTGGTTGATAACTTCAACCCGAAGACATGTTCATTGGTGCTGCACAATGGAAGTGAGTTGCGTGTAACGGAAGAGGATGTAGCCCGCGTTTTGGGATTTCCAATAGGAGGCAGAAAAATAGTACCAAAAAAGAAGAACGAGGAATGCGCATTGCTCGAAGAGTGGAAAGGCATATTTGATAAGGATGAATATAAAATCAGCCCATCCGACGTCAGTACAGAAATGCTTAGCCATAAAGAAGGCGGAGAGTGGTTTTCTAGGCACTTTATTGTTCTTGTAGTGTCACTGCTTCTCGACAGCACGCAAAATGGATATATCAATCCAATGATTGTTAGTCACTTGAATGAGGTTGAAAAAATCAAGGAGATAGACTGATGTGACCATGTTCTAAATTGTCTAATCGATAGCAAGGTGTCATGGGAGAAAAAGAAGGACAAGGCATTCACCGGTCCATTGCTATTTCTAACAGTAAGTTTAACAACTACAATTATTGTGTTTTCAACTATTTATTTATTCTTACATAGTAAAGTGTAATAATAATAAATTGTTGTGCAGTTATTGTATGTGGACAGGATGGTTTTGTACAGGAGAAAACTTGATAGGACTTTACCTGTGCTAAGAGGGTGGACTGCAAAACTTCTAAGAGAACGAGAGTCATTGGAAATAGAGAGTGGCGGCTTCGGGATGGGATACTGGGATGCCCCATTGATATATGAAGAGGATGGGGAAAAGGTTGAAGTAAATGATTCCAAAGAAAAAGATGATGAAGGAGAGAGTGGAAATGGAGTAGAGGTGGAGTGTACGGTTGTTGTTGAGAGTGAGAAGGTAATTTTGAATAAAATTTAGCATGTGTTTTCAATTATTTAGCATCTATTTGTATGTACGTGTGCAAATGAATGGGAAATTAACTGTAATGTAATAAAACAGGAATATGTTAAGAGATTTGCACATAAAAGCAAAATGTTGGCATCAGCTGTGATTGATGTGCTAAAGATGTTTGAAGATGCACCAAAAAGCTTAATTGAAAAGGAAAACTTCATAACGATTCAAGAAGCAGCAGAACAATTGATTGGTGTAGGGAAGAGAAAAAGAGCAGTTGACCATAGAGAAGAAAATGATGGTAGAAGTACACAGGAGAGAGAGGATGATGCTTTCTGGGCTGAAACCATAGCAGCAGTGGAGAGGGTTGAAAATGCAAATAAAAAAAAGAGTTTGTACGAGAAAGCAATTGAAGACATTCCTTCTTTTTCAATTGGTTTGACACAGGAAACACAAGCACAATGGAGTAGCATGGATGAATTGCGTCCAGCAATTGAAGAGCGGAATATGACAAGTGAAACAGAGAGAGCAGAGGAAGCTGTTGGGACAGAAAGTATTGTGCAGGTAAATAAAGTTTTTTTTTTTAGTATTCTTTATAATGAAAATCTAAGAAGATAAAAGTGTGCATGTTGTCATACGCAGTATGCATTGTATGCTATTAATTTTATCATATTTCTGAGAAATATACACTGAAATTCAACTACATATTCAATGGTTATAAAAAGATAATGCAAAAATTTTAACTTTTAATGTAGCTTAGGTTCAAGGAAATGGGAAATTGACAACTGAGCAAGATAAGGGGAAGGAAGGAATTCCCACTGAAAGTATTGTGCATAAGGTATTATTAATTTTAGCATATCATATTATTCGTTTCAAGTAAAATTATTACGTTTATTCACTATATTTTTAAAGGATCAAGTACAGGACAATGTGAGATGTCCGAATGTTAAGGGAAAGGCTAAGATGGTTGAGGTTAGTACACGTTTAATATTATTACATAATATGGTAGGCCTAATTATATTTTGTGGTATCATGCATACTAAGATGATTACATTAATAAAAAATATGATTACAAATTGCATTTATATGACAAAGGAAACAAGCACTGGATTGGTTATAGGAAAAAGTGCACTGGAATTGAGATCACAAAGGAGTCGACAGGAATCTGACGTTTTGAAGTCTCCTTATATCACACGAACCGTTAACCCGAATGAGGTATCAAGCTCAAGTGAAAAGTTGATGTGGAAATGGGTGACACAACAAAGCGCTGAGAAGAGGTTAAAAATATTAAAAAACACTTTCTAGTAAAAAATATTTTAATGTTACTGGTGAACATACAAATAATTCTTAAGGGCGAGATTCTATTCAAGTATAAACAGGTTTCTATGACGCGGCGTGACATGCTTACCCTAGGAGAAAAAATGCACATGCACATGAATGTGGTAGATGCGTGGACAATTCACTTGAATAATTTTGAGAAATCACGAAGTGATGCTTCACCATGCAGATTGTTTGTGAAATCGTATCCCTGTGTAAGTTTTGTGAATATACAATGCACTACTTTAATATGATAGTGCACATTTTGATAAACAATTTTGCAGGTGTACACAATGTCTGGCCAAATCCCCCATGACAATACTTACGAAGTTTTCAAACAAGGACTGGAGCTGGCATTAGATTCAGTTAAACCTGATATAAACATACAAGATGTTGATCTCGTACATATAGTTTAGAATTGTAAACACAAAAGGTTTATTTTAGTGTAGTGATAATCGTTTTTTTAATTAAGTGTCTTCAATGTGCAGTTCTTCTTTCCTATTGTGCAACCACAACATTGTTATGTTGTGGTTTTGAACATGAAAAAACAGCAGGTCGAGGTGTTGGATAACTCTGCCGATGAGATTGACTTTGAGGAAAAGTATGGTGAGATGCCACACACCCTGGTGAGTTTTGTAAAAATTGCACAAAAACCTTAAAAATTTTCGGTATTGTTTTGGTTAAAAATTATATTCATTGTGCTGAAATTATGGAAAACAGAGGGACATGTTCGTTGACTTCTTGACCGAATTGGGAATGGATAATGACCGCAACACATTTTATGAACCGAAGCTGACAAGATTGAAGATGAGGTGGAGGGAACTGAACAATGTGTATGACTACGGTGTTTGGAGCATGAGACACATGGAGACGTACATGGGCGAAGGGACTGTAAGATGGAAATGTGGATTGAAGAAAGGCGATACAAAGGCGTTGAGTGCATTAAGATCAAAATATTGTGCAGCACTTTTGACATCTGAGATTAATGAGGTCAAGGACAACCACTTGAATGCCATGAAGGAAGTTGGGAAAGGACGTAATATGACGAAGTAGGAATGAAATAACAATGTCACAATCTAAATTTACTATTTATGTTGCAAGGATTTACAATCATTTGTCGTTTTAAAAGGTGCACTGGATTGCACCTCTATTCTGTGGTTTCTATCACATGAAATAGGTTCTTATGCTAAACTATGAATTTCATTTTGTTATTTATGAAGACATTCGTCGCATAAGTGGAATGGATAATTTGCTTTTGTGCAGTAATGGTTGGCTACGTAATTGAGTCAAAGTGCATGAGTTGGTTGTACAAATGCATTAAATGTTTTGAAAATGAAATATTATACTTGTAAATTTAAAGTGATCTATGGAATATCCTATACACGATTCATTGAACGAAAATAGTGCAGAATTGGGTTTCAACAAATGCACAATTTGTTAATAACAATGCAAACGCCTATTTTTTTTATACATTGGAAAAAAAAGGTAAGCAGCGATGCAAGCACAATTAATTTGTGATATTATGACAACTACGTAATTCTCAATCGGTAGTAATTTATGATATTACATAATACAAAACCAAAAGTGTTAATCAACAATAAATTGAAAAGAATATTCATTGGTACGAATACAAATAACAAGTCATAAAAAAGAAACATTGCTCCAAGCTCAAAGGCCAACTTGTGAAAGACGAATAAAAAAGAATAATCATTCCTCTGAGTTCAAAGGACAATTTCGACTGTCATGATACCCCTTTTTATTACATTTTATACATAGTCTCTTAGCCTTCTGGCTCACTTCAATTGCCTTCTCCTTGCCTCCTTTAATCCTCTTACCGCAACCCTTATTTCGAGCCTGCTGCGGTGGACGCACACTAACTTGGGTAGGAATGGATGACCCATAAAAGGCTTTGATAACATCATTTTTTGTAGATCCTGATGCACTATTTCCTTGAGAGGTAGACAATAAATCTTTCTGCACCTTAATGGCATCTGCAAACTACTGAAACATTTGAGGTTTTTGGTCAATCATTCCAACGCAAAAATGAATATCAGACCACAATGTCTTCATGGCTAGGTTTTGTTCTTTTGTGTCAAGACACTGTCGAAAAACACCAGCTTCAAATGCATTAAGGGGCTTTAAAATGGAATCTTTGCACCATCGACGTAGCACATATCTATCTGGGATTACATTGACCTTCTTCTCTTTCAACACAAAAAAAATGTGGCGACACAATATCCCGTTCCTTTCAAAATGTTTGCAAGAACAAACTGTAGAACCGTCAGTACTATTGTGCACAACTGTGAAATTAAAACCCCGTTCATGTGATATGACATACGTAAACACACAACCTTCATGATGGAGACTGAGAACAGCACAAGAAAAACAAGCACAACATATTTCCTTCTGAACGAGATAAAAAATTGAATGATTATAAACAGAAGAAGCATATCTTTCAATATGTAACGGAGTCTTGAAATCGGGAATGGAGGACTCTGAAACTATGGTCAATTGTTCACTATTATGTCTTTGAGAATCCATTGCACTCTCAAACTGCATATAAAACTCCACCAAACTGAAATTAGGATTTGTGAATTCATTAAAAAAATTATTTTCACTCTCAGAACGTGATGTAGTCCTGAGCAAACCCGCCATAAATATATCACCGAAATAAGCAGGAATCCACAAATCCCTAATCTCAAACATGTGTGACAACCAATTGTGATTGGGTAGCTCATATTCTTTCATCAAATTGGTC